TGAACAACAAGAAAACAAACAACTCAATCAAAAAGTGGGCAGAAGATATGAACAAACATTTTTCCAAAGAAGATATACAGATGGCCAATAGGCACATTAAAATATGCTGAGCATCACTAATCATCAGGGAAATGCAAATCAAAACTATACTTAGATACCATCTTACACCCATTAGAATGGCTATAATCACCAAGACAAAAAACAACAAATGTTGGAGAGGATGTGGAGAAAAGGGAACCCTCCTACACTGCTGGTGGGAATGCAAGCTGGTGCAACCACTGTGGAAAACAGTATGGAGATTTCTCAAAAAATTAAAAATAGAAATGCCATATGACCCAGCTACCTCACTACTGGGTATTTACCCAAAGAACTGCAAATCAACAATTCAAAGAGCCTTATGCAGACCTATGTTCACTGCAGCATTATTCACAATAGCCAAGACGTGGAAGCAACCCAAGTGGCCATCGTCAGATGATTGGATAAAGAAGAGGTGGTATATATATGAAATGGAATACTGCTCAACCATAAAAAAAGAGAAAATCGTCCCATTCGCAACCACACAGATGAACCTTGAGGGCATCATGTTAAGCAAAATATGCAAGACAGAGAAAGACAAACATTGTATGATTTCACTCATATGTGTAATGTAAACAAACTTACAGACAAAGAGAATAAATTAGTGGTTACTGGGGGAAGTGGGGGAAGGGTGGGCATAAGGGGTGAAGGGGCATACTTATATGGTGTTTGACAAACAGTAATGTACAACTGAAATCTCACTATGTTATAAGCTATTATGACCACGATAAAAAAATAAAAAATAAATTTTAAAAACGACACATAAAACCAGAAGGTATAAAGTACAGAGATTCTTCAGATCACGTAAGAACTTTTCCCAGTCATTATGCCAGGTATATTTATGAAAAGTCCTCAGAATTTTCTCAGACATTCTTTTAAATATCCCTTCAACAAATATTTCTAAAGCAGGTACTGTTTGAGGAGTTAGGAATGCCACAGTGAACAATACATGTGAGGAAACCTGCCCGTTCGGAGATTGTCTCCTAAGAAGAGATACAAACAATAAACAACATGGAGAAGTAGAGTGCTATGTTAGAATGTGATGGGTACTGCAGCAAAAAAGTGCTGGCTGATACCAGGCTCCTAACCGTGCCTGGTTTTGATTGCTCAAGCCAATATTTTAGAGTTTTTATGAGTTGATAATTGAGAAACAGACATAACGATCATCATTATCTACTTATTTGTGGAAATAATTCTACAAGTAGGTATGAATTTAATAAAACTCAAAAGAATATTTGTTTTTACTTCTCAGAGGAAAAATTTTCTACAGGAATATAAGCTTCTTCATTAAACTGTGTTTGCCCTTAAAATTTACTTTTGTTGGGGCTGGCCCCGTGGCCGAGTGGTTAAGCTCGCGCGCTCCGCTGCAGGCAGCCCAGTGTTTCGTTAGTTCGAATCCTGGGCACGGACATGGTACTGCTCATCAGACCACGCTGAGGCAGCGTCCCACATGCCACAACTAGAAGAAACCACAACGAAGAATACACAACTATGTACTGGGGGGCTTTGGGGAGAAAAAGGAAAAAAATAAAATCTTTAAAAAAAAATTTACTTTTGTTTTTAGTGTTCTCAAAAACTGGGGAAAAACTCTAACTTGCTTTGTAAATTTGCGTCAGTCCTTCACTTGTAAGCACTGTCGTCGTGCTATATCAAAAGATAATTTACTTAGAAATTTGCAGATGTGTATTTATTTGTATACCATTTTATTCCAAGCAAGAAATCTGCTGTGCAGTTATAGCAACAGATTTCGGTTTCCTTCGTATGCCCAGGTGCCACTGTTCCTGAATGAAGGAGGCTTGCAAGCTGGAGTTCTGCAGGAGCCGTTCTCCTGAGGGCTGTTCCATTGCTCAGTGCTATTCTGGTTCGCTCACTTACTCTCTGTTGATGAGATTTCCCCCAGGGCAGGGGTTACACTGTTCTCTGTGCGTTGAGTTCAGCTCAGTGTCTTCTGCTGGCTTCCTGTCTCGGTCATCCACGGAAACTGAATCTTTACCACTATCCTCCAAACTGAGTTGGAAGACAGAAAGTGTTTTTCCTGTCTTTGTTAGTGATTATAGATCTTTGAATACAACCTACACCAAAAACAACCCCCAAACCTCTAAAACTCAAAACCCAAACTAAAACAGACAACACCAGCACAATAAAATGTCAGATCAGGGAAATTCCCTTAGAAATAAGACTGTTACAGGTCCTCAAAAGTTGGCACATCATCTCATTTTGGAATTTAACTGATTAAACAAGTAAAGATTCGTTGTGAGTGAGTGCAAATATCTCTTATGTGTATTCTAGCTAAGAGGAAAAAGTTTTTTAAGACGGTGGCAATTTAGAGAGTGTTTAGCAAGAAAATAAAAAATTAGAAAAATTTCTATCTCCTCAACATCACTGACAGGTCAGTCATCTCTCTAAAGTTATTAGAAATGTCACAGCTATTGGGAATTTGTCAATTTGGGTTCCTTTTTATCATTTGCTTTAGGAAATATTTTGGGATACAAAGATCTCAATTTTCAGACATTTCTTCTATATATCACCCTTTTACTTGAAAATCTCAATAATAATATAAATGTGTCTCATTAAAGTATGTAAAATATTTTCTTCTAGATTATTTTTTCATAATTTTCTAAATTTCTTTAGGGACATTTTACTGTCATGAATTTGATGTCCATAGGTTTGAATATGCTAAAAGCAAATTGTCCTTAACGTGTGATTCTGTGTTGTGGATGTAAGCCGTCAAAGAATTACTTTCTTCTTATTCTGCTCGCTGTCCTATTCCTTTCTTCCATTTCTGGTTCATAAATTAGGTTTAAAATTAACTGCATTCCTTTTTCAGGGTTGACAGATGGCGATTTTAAATGAGTACCATATATTCAATTCTCAAGAGATCAAGGCCAAAAAAAAGGAAAAAATTTACATAATAGTGAAAAAGATAAATTTTAAACTTTAAGATGAAACGCTTTTTATAATTTTAAGATATTATAGCTAGTAATTTGTATTAATTCCTTAAAATTATTATATTAAGACTATTATTGAAAAAACACATCTTAGAGAAAATTATGATAATGGAACTAAGAAAAAAATAGCAGAAATAAAGAATTATAGAGAAGGCTCTAGGCAGTTTTGAACTTTGCAAAAATAGAATCCTGAGTTTTTTGTCTTAATTATAAGTCTAAGAAACATACTTCTCTGACATTCTCTTCTGATAGCTCAAGTTTAGAAATTAATAATTTCTGTAAATCCATAGTCGAAGTTTAGTCTAGCCATAATTACTTAGGAAATCTCTAACACTTTTTTACATTTTTGATTGATTAATATCTACATACTTAAGATTAATGCAAATTTTTCTAATGCATGACATTCTAGAAACCCTGAAGTCATTGCCAGTGGGGTAGGCCACTTTATTATCATGATGTAAATGGACTTCTGCTAATTTACATCTTTGTTTTTTTTTAATTTTACTGGGCATAATAGTTTATAACATTGGAATTTCAGTTGTACATTTTTATTTGTCAGTCGCCATATACATGTGCCCCTTTACCCCTTACGCCCACCACCCAAACCCCTTCCCCTCTGGTAACCACTAATCTGTTCTCTTTGTCCATATACATCTTTGCTTTAAATGGCTGATTGTACTGTATTGTGAAGTAATAACAAGTAAAGTTGTGACATTTATATAACATCTTCTCCTCCAGAATTTCCCATTAGCCATATTATTCTACTTTCAGAACTTTATTTTTATATTGCTAAAAGTTTTAGGTTTGTTCAGATGATAAAACCATTAAAACTTAAAAATAGAGTAATTTTCTTTAGATTAGATCAATTTCTCCTTCTGATTTAAAGCATAAAAGAAAGAGACTCTGAATTATTCACAACAGAGAATCAAATGTAGGTTTTCTTGAGCATATTCCATTGTCCTAATTAGCAACAAATTTAAACCACAATAAATCTCCCTGTCTTAACTTTTAATTCTTGTAGAAATCAATATTCAAATATTAATTTCTAGTTGTCTTATTTTCCCAAGTTCCTGATTCTCAAGTATTAACTATTTTTTTTAAATTGAGGTATATTTTATTGAGTTAAATGCACAAATCTTTAGTAAACCGCTCTATCCATTATAACAAATGCGTAGACCCATAAAACCACCACTTAGAGAAGATACAGAAAATTTCCTTCACCTCAGAAAGTTCCCATGTGCTCTTTCCCATTTAATAACGCACAATCCTCTCTCTTCTTTCCAGAATTAACCACTTTTCAGCTTTTAGCACCATAAATTGGTTCTCTGTGTTTTGTAATTCACATAAATGGTATTATACAGTATGCATGTCTTTTGTTTGCCTTCTTTCACTCAAGGTCCTTTTGAGATCCCTCTACGTCATTGCATGTGCTAGTAGTTCATTCATTTTATTGGTGGTAATATAACATTGTGTGAATATAACACATTTCTTTATCCATTCTCTTTTGACAGGCTTTTGGGTTGATTCTTGAATGGATTCTTATGATAAAACTAACACTAATATTCTTGTACAACTATTCTTGTAGACAAATGCACTAATTTCTAAGTATATACCTAACAGCAGAATCACCTGGTTAAGGTTAGAGGTATGTTTAACTTTAGTAGAAAATGCCTCTTTCCCAAGTAGCTCTACCATTTTCCACTCCTGCTGGTGAATGAGAGATCCATTTTCTCCCCATGCTCATCAACACTTGCTATTGTCAATTTTTAATTTTATCCATTTGGGTAGGTATGTAATTTTATCTCCTTGCAATTTTAACTTGTATTTTCATGATAAATAATGATGCTAAGCATATATGAATGCATGTGTGTGTGTATGTATATATGCTTATTGAACATGTTGACATCTATTTTTTATGCCTGTTCAAGTTTTTGACTATGTTTTGAATTGTGTTTTCCTGCTTTACTTATAGGAATTCTTTTTCCTGTTCTGGATATGAATCTTGATCAGGTATAGGTACTGCAAACATTTTCTCCTAGTCTGTTTCTTGTTTTTTCACTTTCTTAATAATGTCTTTTGATGAGTGAAATATTTTAATTTTGATGAATTTTAAATGTATTAGTTAGTTGGGTTTTACCGAGATTTTTATATATGTATTGGCAACATTTTTTTCTCATCTTTTTATCATGGCCCAATTTCACAATATGTTAAATCATATAACATTGTTCACGTGTCTCTCATATTTTGTTTTGTTTTACTATTATCATTTTTTTCATGCTCCACTTTTCAAAATTTCTACTGATATGTAATTCCCTGATCCTTTCTTCTGATGAGTCCAATACAGTCTTAATTTACATTATTGTAAATGTTCCAGAATATCCAAAATTCCATTTCTGTTTAAGTTCTCCATCTTTTGATATTAATAATGGTTAATTTAAGTACACATTTGTTAATTTCTACATCTTATCATCCATGTTTTGCATCAGTTGACCCTCTTTTCCGTTGTGTTTCTTTGCATGTCTTGAAATGTTTTATGGATACTGGACACTGTGCGTAAACAAACCATAAAGCCTCTGGAGGATAACATTTTTCCCTAGAAAGGGCAAGCACTTCTCTCTATCAGGCAGCCAGGATGAAGGCCGGGTCATTTTGAAGAGGAATTATTTGAACTAGGGCTTAATTGCAACCTCAGTTAATTTTGGTTGACCTCTGATTTCTAATAATTCAGTGTCAAGATTCGTTTTCTGTCCTGATTTCCAAAAACATGATGACAATCGTTGTCCTGTATGTATTGCAAAGTTCAGGCTTTGGGATCTAAGCACTAAGGGAATAAGATCTATCTGCTTTTCTATCTCATACTGGCACATACTCAGCTAAAGTCTTTGGCAGAGAATCAACGATAAGGGAGAATAACCTTCAAGTTTGGATGTCCCCCAGACCCCTATGTACCACATCAGACTAGATGGCCATTAAAATCCCTGCTTGGTTCTTCCCAGCCCTCAAGAGTTTCTCTACCCATGACAGGTACAATTTCCCCCCTAGACTTAGAAAATATCCTATGGAGGTAAGCAGCTGTCAATTTCTGCTAATTTTCGGAGCACCAGTTAGTTTAGACTATTTTGCATACAAAACTCGTAGATGCCTTAAAATTTTTTGTTTGTTTTATTATATCTTTTTCTAGTTTTTTACAATGGGGATAATGGCCTGCCATGCTTTATATATCCAAAGCAGAATCTGAATTCCAAGTACATGTTTTAAAGCCCAAATTATTTAATTTTTTCAGCTTTCTCACATTTGGTGTGTAAATTCTATCTCCTCCTAATTTGGAAAAATAAATAGTCCTATTCCTTATCACCACAATTATTATAAGGAATAAAACTGAGTTAGGACAAAAATATAATTAACATGTTTTTGATTTTAAGGAAATCATTGAAGAGAAGAGAAAAAATTCAAAACTGTCAAGTTACATTGAGAGTAAGTTGAATTTTAACTCAATTTGGATTCAATTTAACCACATTCTTTCCAGATCTGCCATTTTATTTCATAGTACTACTAATTGTTAAAAAGACTGTACTATCTGCTTCTTTGCTGTCAAAGAAATGATTTTTGTTGAGTAAGAAAACAGAATAATCAACCTTAGTCCACAGTCCATGATGTATGACTGTGATGGAATCAGACAGAACTGAAATAATCAATTGTGTGTTTACGGCACCAACGCAGCCCTAAGGCACTCACATGCACAGCTAAATGGCCTTCTGGGCTGCGGGGTGATCAAAACCTTTGGGCTCAAACTGATTCTTGCTGTGATCATATAGATCTGGTTAATAATAAGAAAGGACAATTTGGCTTTGGGGCAGATTTTCAGCTTGTTAATCACCGTGGTGTTTTTCTCCGCAGAACTGTCATATTTATCATTTGGATAAGTCTCTTGCATTGATGAGTTTCTGATTGCTTGGGGAAAGTGAATTGATTCGGAAAAATCCTAATCAGCATGCCACTGGCAGAAAATATATTTTGGTTATTTAAAGAATATTTATTGAGCTTCAACTTCCTGAGGCACAGCATGTTACCATGGGGCAGATATAACATAATTTTAAAATATGTTTTTGTTCTTTATGACGTAGAAAATGTCAGTAAGCAACAAATCCAGAACTTGCAGCGATTTATTACAAAGTGAAGATCTGAGAACAAAACATTTCATCTGCATGTTAGGTGACGAGTCCTTTAGGAAACCAGAAGTTGAGTCTTAAGCTTGGTTTTAGAGGAAGCATTTGACGGTAACAATGGGATTGACCATGACGCAATGATATTTTCATAGAAATCAGTTCCTTCTTAAATATTGATGTTTTGTTATGATTGTAGACCCTAAACAGATCAAGACAAGTTATGTAACTTCTTACACCCTACTAAAATTATGAACGCTAAAAACCAATGTCTAATCCAGTTATGTTTTCCTTTTAATCATGCAAGATTTTTATAGAAAGGAATTAAATGCTGGTTAATGATTACATCCTATAAAATTAAGCTCACAACTAACAGAGCAGATTTTAAGTTAAAAGATTATCTATAGTCACATTTTTAAAAAAATATTTAAACTTAGAAAAAAGAAATGCTGACCAGAAAATATGTTGAGAAGTAACAAACAAATTGGAAAAAAAACAGCCAAAGATTGTCCTTAGGAAATCCTGGAGAAAGAGACTTTATAATATCCTATTATAGACTAATTGAAATATCACAGCTTAGCCATCTGATGTCAAGAGTTGAGCTCATTGCATTTAGGAATACTGTGAAGACTCATTTTAGCACACGCTAGCATGCTGAGGCCAGCATCTCTATCAGGATAGGGCAGAGTAATAGCTCCCTGACTTAGTTGAATACACATTTTTCTTAATTTAAAAAATCCTGACAAAAACTAAATGGAAATCTATTTTAGGAAATGTTTTCGTTCGGAGACCAAGTTCGGTTCATCAACCAAGTTTTAAAACACCAACAACTACCCATGCTAATACTACTGTTACTATTGCCACCTACATAATAATTTGTCTCCATTGGACAATAAATTAGAGACTTTGTGAGTCACTGTATTTCTCTCAGATATGTCTTTGTCACTGTTTAATCACAAATAGAGACCATTTTATCACTGTATAATAACAAAGAGTAACAGAGGAAGAATGTGCCCACCAAGACAAAAACTGGGGTAGAAAATGTAACTGTTTAACACACAATGGCACTGTGCTTAAGAAGGGAGACTTATTAATGTGAGTATTAATTTTTACTCTTTATTCTAGATTGTATTTCAAATGAAGTCCCTACAAACACTGTCTTCCTTCTAATAGGACTATTCATCGCTATTTCAGCTTTCTCCTTCCTCTGCAGAGGAATGGCACCACTTCGTCCTGAGTATTCAGCCTCTGTGCTGCGGTGACTCTTCAAGTTATTGCTGAGGACACCTGCAGGAGAGGACAGTGCAGCAAGCCCAGGATACAGTCTGGAGACCAGGAGTGTGAAAGGGATGTTCTAATGAGCTCATTCACTGTAAGCCAAGCTTCCAGATCCAGCTTCAGCAACTTCCGACAGTTTTGACAATGAAGAGGTAGCTTGGCATTTCTTCTTGGGTACATAAGTGCCGTCTATCATCCCAGGTATCAAGTGATTTCAAGAGCTGCAGAGTAGAGGCTGAAGTGCTCTGGCTATGGAGCACATCCCAGGTGAGAAAACTGAAGATCAAGTTGTGTCAAACAGAAATGAGATTCTTCTGTAAAGATTTTGAAGAATAAGCGAAGATATGCCAAATAGGAGTGTCTAAAGATGAACCGTGTAGAAATAAACAGCGTACAAATTTATGAAAATTCAAAGGATTTAAAGAAATTATTCAAGGGATTCAGTGTCTGGTGGGAATTACAAAAGATTTTCTGTAATTTGATGAATTAATTTACATAAATTTGGATCATTTTTGAGATTGAAAATTTAAACCCAGAAGGTGGAATTTATGTCTATTTAATTATTCACTTTTCAAAGCACCTGTGTCCAAAAATGACTCCTATTTCTATCACATATCAGTTATGGAAAATTGAGCAAATTACTTGACTCCTTTGGATCCTAAATGTAACATCTGTAGACTGGGGGTAATTATGGTACTAGACTCAATAATTACTCCAACATTATTTCTGTAAAGAGCTTAGAAGATGCCCTATAGACGTTAGCTATCAGTTTCATTATAAAGCAAAGCATATTTTGCATAGTAAGCATAGTTTAAATAATTTATATACACTCTATATTTGCATATCAATGATTGACAAAAGCTCATATAGTGTGTTTATTTGTTTTGATTTTGAGCTTTATGGTTATTTGGACAAATTTTTAGACTTAAGCTTCCTAAGTACATAGATGTTAGAGACTCATAATTATATGAAATAAAATATATGAAATGTGGGCTAGCAATAATTCCTCCAGTCCCTTTCCTTTCTATATGCCACTCAAAATATTTTCTGTCCTAGTTTGGTTTTCAGCTTGTGATGGATTTTCAGGAATTTGAGAGGTGTTAAAAGGAGAAAAAACTGTATGGTAGGACTCAGGCATCCCTTTCTTTCATTATCTCAAAGACTAGGGAGCAAGAGAATGGAAATAGAATGCCACAACCATCTCTCAATCGTGAATTTCATCATCTGAAATGAGGCACAGCACAAAATTAAAGTTTTCAAAAAGGAAAACAAAAATGCCTGGAGGGACTCTCTTTCTAAAAGAGCTGAGTGAACACTTCTTTCCTAAGCACGGTTATTCACAAGGGGGGCTTTCTTTAAGTCCTGCAAAAACAGAAGCTAAAATCTACCAGTCTCACATGGGGTTATAAGCTAACATACTGTAAATAAAAGATCTCTGATTTCCATTAACAGAAATCACACCTGAATAAAAGATTCACTCCTGCCTCAGTGCAGAAGATCCTTTGGGTGCCACCTGAGGAAGCAAGTGGACTGTATTCTAGTCGTTTCTGAAGTCTGCTTTCAGGAAGACACCAGATGGATTACAAATTACATAAGATTCTTCCTGGAACATTTCCTGATGTCATTGTCCAGAGATTTTCTTATGGGTTTTTACTATAGCAATCTAGAGATAGAATTCCTGCTAGGAGTAGAGGAAGGGTTTTTATAATTTCTATATTGGTGCTGGCAGCTTTGCTTTTTCTAAAAAAAAAATTGCCTCTTTCATTTACTCTATTTTGGTAGTAATATATAAGGTATTTAATAGGTTGGCACTGTGTTTAGAATTTAAAAATAAAAGACACTAAAATAACATCAGTTAAAACAGAATATTTATTGCTTGAAAAGTGACGGAGTCAAATGGCATTGATTTCTAGCATAATGTACTATGACCCTCATCCATCTGTTCAGATCCTGATGCAGAAATCAATGTAATCTTTTTCTGGGGAAGCCCAAGGCATTCTCTGCATTTAGACATAGGACTTTCAGACTGCTAGTGTGATTAAAAAATAATCAAGACCTTCCAGAAGCTTCTTTTTCCAACCTACTCTAAAAAGTTTTCCCTTAAAAATAACTTTTTCTGAGCAAATTTTGTTATTCAGCTTATTTCTTTCATTCTTTGCATTTCAATTACAGTACAGTTCTATTGATTATATCTCTTAAGAATCCCAGCTGAGTGTAAGTAAAAGCACATTTGTAGACTGGTTTAAAATCTACCATGAGTACAATATGACTACTCTTAAAGTATCAATAAATATTTATGGTAGAATATTTCAAGGTTGTTAGGAAAGCGTGTCTGACCTCAGCTTTGGGCAGCAGGGGGCATTTGTATAGCTATAAGAAATTGTCTAAAATTTTATAGATTTTGATATTGTTTCAAATATATCTAAAATTCCAGGTATTTTTTTCTTGGACTGAAGACAAAAACTGAAAATGAACTAACATACCAAAAAGAGTTTCAAAAATTTTATTGTGCTAAAATAATTTCATGTTTGCTAAGGCAAAAGCCTGAGAATCTGAAATGTAGCTTGTGCTTCAGCAGTTAAAAAAACAAGACAAAACATTTTCACATAATTCTGAAAGGACTGTGTTGGACTAAATCAAAGAAAAATTGAAGTTTCTTTGGAAGTGGGAGAAAGTGGTGCTCACTTCTTCATATGGTAAGGTCATAACAGATTTTATTTTCTTCTCTGACCTAAGTGGATGTTAGGAACGTGACTTTTGTGAAAGCTGGAGACAATAATTCCCTTAGCATCTTTTCTGTTTCTCTGTTCTTTAAGGCATTGTCTGTCTGTCGGTGTCTCAATCCAATGTACACAACAGGATAGATGCAGAGAGGGCTGATGGCCACTCTGAGTTTATTATAACCAGGGTTTCAATATATATATAGCTTACATCTGTTAAACATACACAGGTGTTCTGGACAATGTAATTAGCGAATGCTGAGAATTCCTAGTGATTTCTCAAGGAGCCCTCCCTTGGCGTCTGTTTTGATATGATCATGTTATTGCTGTGCTCGTATATTTTTATCTTGGAGCATGCAAGGCCTCCTAGGCAATGGCCCCTCCTGCTCCCGATATCATGTCTCCATCTGTGCCCCCGGGGCAACCTTGCCCGGCTTAGGTTGCCCCACCAGGGAGGTCTTTCCTGTCATTAGCTAACTGGCCTTCTCACCTCTGGGTCACAGTTTGTTGGCAAGCCTTTTCCAGTGATTATTAACCCTTCCTGCGTCAGAGGCGGCTACACTGTCCTGGTGTGGTTTTCAGTGTTTATATCATGGTTTCTAGAAAAGTCATGCAAAAGTACTCTTGAGTGCTTTGTGAGCCTCTGCTTACAAAATTTTCATCAACCGATCAATATATCACCTTGTTTTGTATGTATTTCTGTTTAAAGACAACTTATTTAATATATTATTGATTCATTAACACTGAACTCACAGGCAACATCACTATATATAACTCATGTCTTGAATGAAGCTTATCCAACACATGTTTTCTCCATAAGACAAATCCCAGCCTTCTTGGGCTTAGGAAAACCAGATGGCACTTTAGCGCTACACTTGGGGGCCATTTTAAATAGCAAAATCACCAAGAAAACCCTCAAAAATGTGAAAGATGTGGCTCTAAAGACCACAAAAGGACACTGTACAGTAGGAGAGCTAGAACAACTAGGCAGAGTGTTGCTTTGTTTGAGCTCAGCTAGGAGTGTAGGCACTGGGTGACTCAAATTTTCTGTTCCTCTGCCTATGTCCACAAATGACCTGAAAGCACCCGAGTATTGATTTTGGAGTTACAAATAAAGCTTAGCGAGTAGGTGAATTCACAAATAATGGGGATCGACCGTAACTGGATAAATTCTAACAGTTCTTTTCTGCACTATATATTTAGGTTCTGCACAGAATGCTATCTTTATGGTTTTAATCTGAATCTTACAAACAAAAGTTTCCAATGTAGCATTTTGTCATGGAAATAGAAAGCAGAGATAACAAAAATCTTTACCATATTGTATTTAGTGATTCTAAATGATTAAACTCTAGGCAAACTGTCTACTAAGCAGTTAGAGATAAACTACTTTCTTGAAAAGATTCTTTCAATTCAACTATACCTTTGGATTGCTACTAAAATATTTTAGTTTTATAAGAGTGAATATACATTTAAGTCAATGAAAGACTCAATGGGACATGAGAAGCTTGTTAAAACCAGCTGAAAGTTGCCAGAACTATGTATCTTTTATGAAAAAAGGAGAATAAATTAATGCCCACAAGAACAAATAATATAAAACAGAGGTTTCTCAGCAAAACTGGTATTCCAAATCTGATCAAATTAATGGTAACTAAAAATTGCTCCTATCTGTTTAGTAGCTGATGATTAATTTGTTGATGATATAAATTCACTTCCTAATGGACAGGTGGTAGAGAGTTAAGAGACTATTTGTGAAAAGACCTCAATTGATGGTATCTGCCAGACTTGAACCAGCCAAGAGTTGAACAAAGATAAGATCCATGTTAATTTTTTTCAGAGCAATGTTAAAACATGCTGGTAAGTAGGATCTGAATTCTTTTCAATCTGCTTTTTTAAAAATTTTATTTATTTATTTATTTTTATTTTTATTTTTTAAAGATTGGCACCTGAGCTAACAACTGTTGCCAATCTTTTTTTCTTTTTCTTTTTTTCTGCTTTATCTCCCCCAAATCCTCCCAGGTACACAGTTGTATATCTTAGCTGCAGGTCCTTCTAGTTGTGGCATGTGGGACGCTGCCTCAATGTGGCCTGATGAGCAGTGCCATGTCCGTGCCCAGGATCTGAACTGGTGAAACCCTGGGCTGACGCAGCGGAGCACGCAAACTTAACCACTCAGCCACGGGGCCGGCCCCTCAATCTTCTTATAAATGTAAAAGTTTTTACCCAAGCAGGTTATTCATTAGATTAAAATTTTGTAAATGATTTAAAAGATATAAAGCATTGTCTGTGGAGTCAAGCATTGGATACTGCAGAAATCATTAACTGTTACTGATATATAAATGAAAAGCAATAAGATATATTGGAATATATGAGGAAGCCATTTGGTTTAAAACTAATTCAGCCTGACCTTGTTTTTCCAAAAGGGCCTGACGTGGCCTGTTGAGCATACACGGTACATCTGCTCTAAACATTTATGATGTCCCAAAGATAAGAATGATGCCCTCAAAGATAAGGACATATATCTTCCCCCATATTGGCATTTCCTTAATGATAAGCATTTCTCCCTAGAAACTAAGGATTAATTACTGACATGCTGTGCTCACCTTGTGACCACTCACCTGCTGTGCCAGCAAAGCAATCTCATGACTATTGTAAAAGGGACATTCCTGTCATACGTGATGTATGCTCTTTGTTCCAAGATGGTATATAACTGCCCTGTCTACCCCACTTCTTTGGTGCTCTTCCTTCCTTGCAGAAAGAAGGCCCCAGACTATGGTCCTCAGACTTGGGTCATAGTAAGCTCACCCCAGTTTATATTTATAGATCGATTATGGATGATTTGTGTCAACATTACTAAGCCAAGAATTATTTATAAGCAATCCTCTGTTTAGCGATTTGGGTAAAGAATGGGGTTTTCTATTTAATTGTAAATACTTAACAGATTTAGCTTATATAATATGAATGACGATCCCATTTCAAAATTTTGAATGAAAAATTTATAAAACAAAAATCACAATACTGATGTAATCAAGCATTTTTTAAGCAAAAATATCTAGCAGTTGTTCTTAGATCTTGTAGCAATTTTGAGCAATAAAACTCAGTTTTATGGATCCTGCAAATTCCAATTAAGTAGTTAAAGGATTTACATTTTCCAGAGTAATAAATAATTTAAATGCATTTCAGACATGTACTATATGTACTAAATATGTATAAAGGCTCAGGTAAGCTATACTATTAGAAATAATTATTTTTAAAATGCTATAACAGCACAACGTATGTGACACACTCTGTAACAAGAAAATAGAATATCAGAAATCTATGACTATGATCTTTTGAGGAAGTGAAAAAACAATCAAATTATCCAGAAAGAGAGTCTTTCTTTTTCAGTGAGATAGAATTGGCAAGAGCAGTCTGTGTCTGAACATCAACTCTCCTCTGAGTCTAATTCTGGTGAGAGCAGCTATCACAAAGAACCTGACCCAGAAGCTCATCCCTCTCTCCTGCTACAGATCAGAGCACTTGCCTGTTCTTTCCTGGCTTGATATCACTAGCCCTGACTGAGAAACTTAAATCTAAAGACTACAGAACTGCTTTCAAAGTCCTGATGACACAAAGGACATGATCGACAGAGTGCTCATTAGTTCCAATTTGGGACAATCACATAAAACTTTGTATCTTCCTCTGTAGGACTCCAGGACTTTGTGAATCAGTACTTTTCACTTAGCCATCTCTTCTCAATGCCTCATTGACTAACTAAGGGGATTGAAGAAAAAATTTCCAAACAGTCCCTAACTCATCCCCATAGGTTGATCAAATGGAACACTTAAAAAAGACTCTTAAAAAAGCAAAAGACAAATGTAGGGACACAAACAAAAGTGAACGATGTGAGACTTAGTTCAGCTCTGATATATGAAGAGCTTGGAAATTGTGACTTTCATCCCTACAACAAGAAAAAGCAGGGCACTCTGAAAATCAAGAGGTTTTTTGGACCCTTCAGGGGACCAGTCTTTGGGCAAATGGCCACCCCAAACTGGAAAGAGACAGGCACACAAAGTGAGATACAGCTCCTGAGACTTGTTTCCCTGGAGCAGAAGCCTCTAGAATCTAAAAGATGGTAGGAAAAGTCAAAAGGTTGTTTTGATGAATTGCTGAGGCTGAGTGTGGGCTAGCGAAAGAGTAAGACATTCCTGGGAGCTGCAGTCATAGGTGGGTCCCCACACTTAGTTGAGCTTTCACCCTGCAAATCCCTCCAGGTTCTCCCAGTGAGGATCTGAGAAAAATCTCCTCCTGATTCTGACAAAGGGAATAATAACCATCTTGAAACTGACTCAGACTTTTCTCCCTACAAAACCTAGTTTCCAGGGGGAATAAATTTGCCAGAGGGCAATTCTGAAACCTTATCACAACTGGAAGAAGGAAATTTCACCCCAGCTTCAACTTTCCTGTGTCACCTAAGGAAAAAAACAAACAAGCAAAGAAACAAAAACAACTGAAAACAATCAAAACAAAACAAAAAATCAAGTCAACAGGGAAGAGGAGTTCAAGGAGATGGATTGCGAATACTGCAGCCAGGGAAGAGCATAAAGGGCAAGAGGAAAAGGAGTTATACCACTGGAAGTGGGACCGAAATACCTGTGAAGACCACCTCCTCAAGACACTGGTTCACAACAGACTGAGTCTTAATCAGAATACTGTAGAAAGCTCCCCCTTCCCCATGCCCCGTCATCACATCCAAAAGCCTCCAGGATACTGAGCGTGGATTACAGCTGAAAGGTGCAAGACACAGACTATCTCTCAGGAGCAGTGTAAGGAGAAGCCTCAAATCCAAGTCAGGAGACAAAAACAAGAACTCGAGAAGAATTTGAAGTCTCTGGTACCCATAGTTAGAACAAACCTTAAACATAGCCCAGCTCCTAACAATATTAACATAAAACCTTACACTAAAGGCCTATTTACCTGAGTACCTATTTCCTGATACAACATGTCCAACTTTCAACAAAACATTCCAAGATATACTAAAAGGAAAGAAAAAAATACATTTTGAGGACACAAAGCAAGCTTCAGAGCTACACTCAGATGTGACACACGTGTTAGGATTATCAGAAAAGGAACTTAAAATAGCTATGATTAAGATGTAAAGGACTCTAATGGAAAAATTAGATAACATGTAAGACCAGATGGG